AGCTACTAAGACGAACAGACCAGCCTGACCCGCATTCTGAATCCTTCCTTTGTCTCGTCGTTTCAGATTCGCACGGTAGAATCAACATCATCCCGTTTTTCCATCTACAGCATCCGCACTTGCAGCTCACCGATTGATTGCCTGAATACAAGGCTCAAGTCCCACGAGACGCCCCGTCAGTTATACGAGCACCAATGGCGAAAACTGACGACTCTGGGTGGGCAAGCGCAAGAGCGCCTGTCAGTAACGGCGACCATGGAGAATTCGAAAGACCGAAAGGATGGAAATACCGCAGCTTGAGAATCGGACCCATCAAGCTTCCATGCTATGCATCGCCAGAATCGCAATTGATATTAGTCTCATTCGTCTGCTTCTTGTGTCCCGGTAAGCAGCACAAGATCGTAGTAACGCACAGTTTACTAACTCTACGCAGGCATGTTCAACGCCGTCAATGGTATCGGAGCCGCAGGTCTCGACGACGATGCACATGCCAGCAACGCTGCGAATACTACACTTTATGCTACCTTCGCAATTGTCGGTTTCTTCGCTGGCACCATCACCAATGTCCTCGGTATTCGAGTTGCGCTTTCCTTCGGCGGTCTGGGGTATTGCGTTTACGTCAGTGCATTGCTTTGCTTCAACAAACCTCAAAACTTGGGCTACGTCGTCTTCTCTGGGTTCTTATTAGGTTGTTGCGCTGGCATACTATGGTCGGCGCAAGGTGCCATAATGTAAGCTGACTTATGAAGGTTATGTGAGACATATACTGACTTCGTACCTCTGCAGGATGAGTTATCCGCCAGAGAAGCAGAAGGGACGGTATATCTCTTTGTTCTGGATGTAAGTGTCGCTGTACGTACCGTACCGAGATAGGCTAATTTCTCATGATAGCATCTTCAACATGGGTGCTGTTATTGGTAGCCTGGTCCAGCTTGGGCTGAACTTTGATACACAAAACGCAGACGGGCCAGCAGCTGTCACTGACCAGACATACATCGGCTTTATGGTCCTCACATTCCTCGGCGCCTGCCTTTCTTGGACACTCATCGATGCCAAACACGTCATACGCCGCGACGGGAGCCGAATTATCATGATGAAACATCCAACTTGGCAGTCCGAGATCTTGGGTCTTTGGGAGACTCTGCGTACAGATCCGTATATCATACTCCTCTTTCCGATGTTCTTCGCTTCGAATTGGTTCTACACGTACCAGTTTAACGACGTCAACTACGCACGTTTCAATGTGCGGACGCGCGCACTCAACAATGCGCTTTATTGGTTGGCGCAGATACTCGGAGCTGGTGTGTTTGGATTTGCACTGGATTTCCCGAACGTCAGGAGGACTACCAGAGCGAAGATTGCCTGGGTAGTCATGCTATTGTTGACCTTCGCCGTTTGGGGAGGAGGGTACGTATTCCAACGGCGGTATCGTCGCGACGATGATAGCCACCACTTCGATTGGACAGACGGCGGGTATGGTACGTGAAAATCATGTGCGAAATGCATGTGAGACATATACTGACTTTTTGTCTTTACCCATGCAGGCGGCCCAATGGTGTTGTACATCAGCTACGGCTTCTACGATGCGGCATGGCAGACATGCGTGTACTGGTAAGACTGTCTTTCCATTGGCATGCTCTCTGCTAACAGCCCTCAGGTTCATGGGCGCAATCTCGAACAACAGTCGAAAGCTCGCCAACTTTGCTGGCTTTTACAAGGGCATTCAATCAGCTGGCGCAGCTATCGTGTTCCGCCTAGACGGTTACAAGAGGCCTTACATGGACATATTCCTATCCAGTTGGGTGTTGTTGGCTGGAAGCTTGATCGTCGCGCTGCCAGTGATGCTGTTGAAGATCAAAGACACGGTGCCGCTTGAGGAGGACTTGAAATTCACAGACGAGACCGTCGAGGATGTGCTAGGTAGGAGGGATGGCTACTTGTTGGATGAGCCTGAGAAAGCGTAGGACATTACGTCCGGACATGGGAAGGTGCCGTTCTCGCCTACATGGATGCGGCGGGAGCTACGACCAAAGGACAGTTAGCGCTCAACCGATGCGATCTGCATCATTAGACATCAGGCGCGAAAACGGTGAACAGATTTCTCATCAATTTTTTCCCCATCAAATGCGCGTGTTCAGCTGTGCGATGTCGCCTCCGATTCCGTTGCGATACCGATGAGCTACTGGAGCACTCTATGCCGAACTCCGGCGCCCCTCGGAGTTCCATGTGCGCTGCGTCGCCCACTCCGAAAGCGCTTTGAAATCAGCGCCATGCACTCTTTCCAAATTATGACATCTCTACCAGTCTGCCATGCCCCGCTTTCGAGAAGGGATCGCTTTTCTCTTCCTGTGTTAGAGCTGAACAGCACATCTTTATTGGCATGTTGGGCACGATCTGGGTCGGAGGACCCTGCGGTCAACAAATTGCTATGCATTTGTCGTTGATATCATACAGCATCAGCGCAGAATGGATTGCTATATAATTGAAGCCCTCTGTGGATGTTTTCTAGAGCAGCATTCTGACGATATCTACGTTCAACACTCATCATGGAGACTAGAACTCAATCGGCCCTTACAAGCACCGGCACCACGCCCGACAACCAATCGGAATTTGAGCTTGAATCAAGCCAACGATGGAACGAGCAGCCCGTGAACGAGAACGAGTCTTTGCTACCGCCGACTGATGGCGGGAAAGATGCGTGGTTGTTTGTTGCGGCTGGCTTTATGGTGGAGATGATGGTATGGGGTGAGTGTGAAGTGTTTCATTGACTACGCCTTTGCCCTTGTAGTATTATCATAACTGCATCTCTTCCAAAGCAATCCTTCCATATTAACACCTAACTTGAAACTTTTGCTAATGTAACCAACAGGTTTTCCATGGTCGTATGGCATCTTCCAAGAGTACTATAGTTCATCCCCGGAATTCGCTGGTTCGTCTGGTATCCCAGCTATCGGCACCTCAGCGATGGGTATTCTGTACATGATCGCACCATTGACCTTTGGTTTGTTCACCCGCTGGCCGCAGTACAGAAGGAAGGCCATGGTCGCTGGTGTATTCACCATGTGCCTTTCGCTTGGGCTGAGCTCTCTGTGCACGACCGTACCGCAACTCATCGTCACTCAAGGGATCTTTTATGGTGTTGGCGGCGCAATAGTGTACTGTCCTTGTATCATACTCTTGGATGAATGGTTTGTAAGACGCAAAGGTCTCGCATTTGGTATCATGTGGGCAGGTACAGCACTTGGCGGCGTCGTCATTCCGCTGTTGCTGCAGTTCCTTCTCAATCGCTATGGCTTCCGCAACACGCTACGCATATGGGCAGGCCTACTCTTCGCAGTTCTTCTACCCGTCACAATCTTTATCAAACCACGGCTGCCTGTCTCGGCAACTACTAGGTGTGGAATTACTTTCACTTTCCTCACAAACAAGACCTTTTGGGTTCTGCAGTCTGGCAACATCTTGCAGGGCTTGGGATTCTTTGTACCATCCATCTGTAAGTGTCTATACGAACTTCACTCGCGAAGTACGCTGACTTTGTGCTCCAACATGAAGACCTGCCTACATACACCAAAGCACTGGGATTCAGCAGCACAGTCTCCGCCGTTCCTCTCATTCTCCTCAATGTCGCCGCTGTCATCGGATCCGTTAGTATGGGAAGCATCATCGATCGCACACACGTCACCACCGCCATCCTCATTTCCACCATCGGTGCCATGATCTCCACTTTCCTAATCTGGGGCTTCAGCACGTCTCTACCGCCGTTGCTGATCTTCTGCTTCACATACGGACTTTTCGCAGGCAGCTTCGCGAATACTTGGCCTGGCATCATGAGAGCAGTGCAAACAAGTACGGGACAGATGGAGAGCTCCATGGTCTTCTCGTTCTTGTGTATGGGTAGAGGTATTGGGAATATTGTCAGTGGGCCTATCAGCGAGGCATTGATTAAGACGGGAACTCTTGGTGAGCATGGATTGTATGGGACGCAATATGGCAGTTTGGTGGTGTGGACGGGGGTTAGCGCTGCGCTTGGGGGTGTGAGCATCATCGGAAGGAGGGTGGGATGGCTGTGATGGAGCTTGGACCACCGCGACGCGGAATGGCGCGAACTGGCGCGTATGATGTCACTTCCAAAGCGCGTGCAATGACGACCCATAGTACATGTTCAATCACGTAGAAATCCACCTTCAATATTCCACTACCAAAGCATCAATCCTGTCCAGGTTCTCTTTCGCATCAGCTGAGGCACCCTATACCCCGGCTTCGCATAATCCCACCTTTTTCAGCCTGCTTTTGGGTCAGAGTCCGCCCCCTCCCACATCATCCATCTGCCGCATACCCAATTCGCCGGACATGGACAGCCTGATAAATTTCGCTTCATCAGTGGGTATTTCTCTGCCGCTTCAGCTGCCGGATCGGGCACTAGCCATGCCCGTCTTCCGTCCCCGACCTCTCGTCCCGTTCGTTCCCGCGAGGTATTTCGGATCACCCAACCTTCGTTCCGATCACTTCTAGCTGCTATTGACTAGTAGGCATGGAACCTCTAAAATGATGCTACTTTGTACTGTCAACAGATTCTCTGATATTCAGCCAGGCGCCTATAGGCGGCGAAGAGACTTCAGCCTCGCGTCTATCCGAAATCTAGAGTTCTTTGGTGGCTGCATGAGCTGAGCGCTTATATTGATCAGCTGCAGTCACTGATGGGTGACTCTTTGCTCAAAGAGTCTAAAAACAGCGATGGCTTCTCATGGCTTATGGGAGATGGCTCTAGTCCTCCCAACATTGGTCACTATTCGTGGGGTTTGCGGCTCAGACCTGCTTACGCTAAGCCGTCCAATATCCGTATGCTGATACATGCATCCACAGATCAGGCTGGAATCTAGCCTCGCGTAAACCAACTAGGTGAGAGGAGTTCCGCACCTTTCTTCCTACTGAGGAACATCGCGCGCCCGTTTCGACCATTTGCCATTGAACTACGAGGTTTGCGAGGCTGTCCAGACGATATGTCGAGTCCCTACCGAAGAGCAGCCGATCCGATGATTTCACGGCCGCCATCATATACGCCAGAGATTCCTGTAGTCAAAACATCCAGGTCAGAATCTTCCAAGAGCACCGGTCGGCCTCGAGGATCGTTCTCTACCGGTGTCTTTCGGGATGGACCAAAGCCTACCTTGGATCCATCGCATGCGCTCTCACGCGATCGATCTGAGGTCACCGTCGATGAATCTCCGCTACGGCTGTGCGAGAGTTGCGAGGTTGAAAAATCTCCTGTATGGGATTGTTCATATTGCGACATGAACTTTTGCGACGACTGCTGGGGGAAACAGGGCCCCCACAAAGCGGGACGCACTGGGCCTGATGGTCTTCCGCATGAGAAGGCGAACCCAACTGTTGTCAAGAGGCTGCGAGACATTTTGACTCCTCCTCGAGAGCATAGAGAGCAGCAGATATTACACATAGAAGACGAGGATACAACGTGGTTTGGAATGGTGCGCAATAGTCAAAACTCGCCTGCCTTCCAGGACTATGGTCGTTACTCTGCCATCATGGCGGATAGTAACTCTGGCGAATACAAGTACCGTTTCCCGCAACTTGTATCTTTCATTGGTCAGACCGGAGCAGGCAAGAGTACACTTATCAAGATGCTCATCGATCAACAAGAACGTATGAGCCAGCCAAGGAACTGGAGTCTCCCGTCACCTGTCGCAGGAACATCAGCAAACAGCAACGTACCCACTTCCGGTGACGTACACTTGTACAGCGATCCAAGCACATACAATACCGAGTACCCGTTACTCTACGCCGATTGCGAAGGTCTGGAGGGTGGCGAAAATACCCCGATGGCTGCGCAATATCGAAGTAGTGCGACAGCACCACAGAAAGAGAAAGGGAGGGAGGATGTCGCATTGGGCGAGCACCGAAAACGCCGCAAAGTCACCAAAAGCTTGCATAGCACCCAGAGAGACATCAAATGGGCGAACTCTCCTGATAAATCAAAACGACAATACGCTGTTACGGAACTCTACCCTCGCCTTCTGTACACATTCTCCGATGTCATCGTGTTCGTTCTGCGCAATGCAAAAACCTTTGAATCTACAGTGTTGGGATTGCTTATCAAATGGGCGGACTCTTCCTTTGAGAAGTCAGTGAACCAGCCTACACTCCCGCACGCTGTCATTGCACTCAACGCAACCGACACAAAAGTGGATCAGGAGGAGTGGGATCCTGAGTACGCGACAGAGTTTCTTATGTCCAACGTCGCCGGAGCTATCAGTCGCGATCCAGCATATCGTGAGCGGCGAGATTATTGGGTTGGAAGAGGCAGACGTATTCGAACTATGAAGGATCTCCTTGAGTGTTACTACTCTTCGATCACAGTTGTACGGATCCCTGGCGAAGGCCGATATATGATGATTGATCAACAGGTAACGAAGCTTCACCAAGTCGTCACACACCGATGCCTGGAGTCATTCAACGCCAAACGACGGTCGCGCATGCTTTCCAATTCCGACAACCTCAATGTCTATCTACAATGTGCATTCGACCATTTCTCGCAGGACCTTCATTCACCATTCGACTTCATGGACATTTCCTTCAAGATCAACCCGATACCTCAAGACTTTGGAGGTCATGTCTTGAAGTTGGCCGTTGCAATGAAAGCTCAATTCGACGACCCCAGGAAGATCTTCAAGGAACTGAGCCACATGGTGACCTCTTGTATACTTTTGGACTGCGTTCGACAGGATCTCAAAGGATCTGCAGAGCAGATTTTGGAAACACAATACATGACGCACTGTGATGGCGCTCTTGACGACTTTTGCGCTATCTTCTGGCCGTGTTCTTTCATCAACAGAAGAGGTGAACGATGTGTCAATGTAAAGGAGCGACATGTGAAAGGACACCAAAACCAAAGAGGCAGCGTCATTGGATCTGGCCCCTATGAGTCAGACTTCACATTTGACAAGTTCTATGAAGACTGGTTCGAATACCTAAAGCATTACCTGATCGAAAACAAGTCAAAGCTTGATTTGCAAATGACGAAGTCTCCAACAACTGAGGAGGATGCGGTCAACAAACTCCACTTGGCCAACGTTACCGGCTTCTATAACCACATGGGGGGCGCAAAGAACTTCGTCAGCCACACTACCTGTTTCTGTTGTTTAAGGGAACTAGCCGAGCATCCCTTGCCTTGCGGACACGTGCTTTGCACAGCGTGTGTCAAAGGTTACGGCAGCCCACATCGGGAACTCTCAGGATCTTTCACTATCGCCACATGTCCGCTGCACGATCACCAAGCTGTCTTTCCTACACCAGTAGAGATCTACTTCAAGCCTCCACTGGCAGGCCTACGGATTCTGTCTCTTGACGGAGGTGGTATACGAGGGATAGTCATCCTGGAAGTCCTTCGCCAAATACAACAGGAGCTAGGTGATCATATCAAAGTCCAAGAATTCTTTGACCTCATCGTTGGCACCAGTACCGGGGGTATCTTGGCGCTCGGTCTTGGTGTCAAAAATTGGTCTGTAGACCAATGCAGTCAACTCTTTCTCAGAATGGTGGAGAAGGCGTTTACACCCAAGTTCTTTGGAGGGGTAAGCCTGGGAACTAACAAATACCATACAAAACCTCTAGAAGAAGCTTTCAAGGAGTGTTTCAAGGATGAGGCCATGTTTGGTGGGCAACGTGACACTCCAGTTGCTAGCGCGTGCAAAGTCGCTGTTACCTCTGCAACGGAGACTGCGGAACAAGCAGTCATATTTACAAACTACAATCGCGCAGAGGACGAGCAAATTGGCTACCAGTTGGTCCGACCCGATGATCCAAAGAATGATGTCTTGATCAGAGAAGCTGCACGAGCAACCTCTGCAGCTCCGACATACTTCAAGCCTTTCAGAAACGCACGTACAATGGAGGGTTATGTGGACGGTGCTGTCTTTCACAACAACCCAGTTCGCATCGCCAATTATGAAAGCAAGCTTCTTTGGCCTGATGCCGATCAGCGACCTCCTGATCTTCTTTTGTCCATAGGAACTGGTCAACACGGCGCAGATTCCGACAATTCTCTGAATGCCTCACGTTACGATAGCAGGCGATTCCAGATTCGGAAGATATTCAGCCAGGTGAAGGATACGCCACGCTTGAGACGATCTATGCCTGTACTGAGAGCATTTCCCGAAGTCGAATCGTGGCTTACTATCTTCAAACAACGGGTTGAAAGTGCTTTGGATGCGGAAGCCACATGGAAAGAGTTCCGTAAAGACGTGGTAGGGATGGCCCAGTACGCTGCAGCCGAGCGATACATTCGTTTCAACCCAAAGACCATGAGTCGGATACCCAAGATGGACGACAAGTCGCAGATCGATAATCTACTGGAGGAGATCAAGACCGGTCTTCGCAAACCTGGCGCGCAGAAAAAGATCAAGAACGTTGCGCAACGACTCGTAGCTAGTTCATTTTACTTCGAGAGATCTTGCCCTTCCAGGCCCACCGACGACCATATCATTGTGCAGGGTGAGTTTGTTCTATCTATCAAAATGACTGACTAATGATTGAAAGGCAACATCCAATGCAGATTCGCTGCAGGTTCCAATAATCTTCGGGACTTGGGTGACTACATACGCAAGCACCAATTGCCTCACTTCCAGCCGTTCTTTCGTATACAAGAAGCCATGCACGTCGAAGGGGCTCAATCTATACCAGTCACAAGGCATACCATTCGTGACATGACAGAGAGAGGTTTGTTTAGACTGGACTCGATCGTCATACCAGTTGCTTCGGAGAGTGCAGCCGTGTCGATTGATCTGCATCTGACTGACCACCGCACCACGCGATACGGGCAGTCTGGTTTTCCGATCAGCGGATTTCCCCGACTTCTCGCAGATGGCGAACCCCTCAAGAGAACCAGTGAGTAACCATCTGGCTTAATATCCTTCGTGTCATCGCACATATAAATAATGATTACAGCCTCCCATGGAGCTTCGCCAAAGCCTGAACGTCCGAAAATCTTCAACAAGAGACAGTCTCTTCGGGAAAAACGGCATGGCGCGCGTGTCAGTGTCATGATGGATCGACCAGCAAGCGACAGCAACATCTCTTATGCAAGCCGCAATGAACACGCTGAATATCCTGAGATGCCAGGTGACGTACCCGACTGGATTCAGCGTCGCAGCGAAGCAAACCGCGGCCCACCTAGACCCATGCAAGACTTCCTGCATCAAGATCAGCATCGAAACCTTCCGCCAACTTTTGTCGAGGACGTAAATTTATACGAGCTCGATGCTGAACCACTTCTCACACCAGGCGCCAACGACAATGCTATACCACGAACAGTTTCACCGGGCGAATGGAGAGAGGACTATGGTGAGCAGGTTGCACGGAGCGATGACGATGACGACCTTGCAAAAGCGATAGAGCTCAGTCAGCAAGAAGCATTTTCGGGACCGAGGAGGACTAGTACAGGAGGGTTTGATGAAGATCAAATTGCCGAAGCACTGAACAGATCTTTGCACGTTTCGGGGAGGCAGTAATGGTGAAGAGTACCGTCCATCCAACGAGGCCAAAAATTAGAATAATTTCGTAGTAGAAAATTGTCGTTCCTGATTCGCTTCTGCTTGTCCTCTGCGCATCATATTCCATGTTGCTTCTCCCTTTGGATCCCGCTGTTCCATCCCGTCCTGCTGTCCAAACCCATGTATCATAACTGCTACCTCTCATCAAGCAGGCTTCTTTACGTCCACCTTATCAAACTGCGTCGACGAAAACAAAACCCGTGTAGAAGTCTTATGCCTCAGTCCATTACCATCACCCCCTCTCTCACTCTGTTCAGCTTTGCTCCTCCTCCCCTTCTTCCCCGTCTGATTCCTTTTATCCAACGGCGAATGACACACAATCTGACTCGTCGGTCGATGAAGCGCAGCTTCGGAGTTCGAATGGGTCGAGGAATTATATCGCGGTTTTGGTAGTTGCATCGAAATGAGATTCTCGTCCGATTGAGTTTGTTTTGATGGTCGGTTTGGCTGTGTAGAGGGCTTTGAGGGTTTAAGATTGGACGTCCATTTCTTTAATGTCGTGCTGAAGAGCATTTTGTGCGTTCGTTTGACGCGTCCGTCGTCGCGTATCGTAGGATTCGGGCGCGTCTCTCGCGCCCACGTTGTTGGAAGGTCTAGCGAAGGTACGGTGCAGAGGAGGAAGCAGCGATTCGAGCGAAACGATCGAAAAGGACATTGAGCGACATCATATCATAACATATGCACCGATATAACGGTGATTTTCGCCGTGACTACGAATGCGTTGCTTCCCTAGCTAAAAGCGGCAATCTCCTTACGTGACGTGACGTGTGACGGGCGATGGATGCAAACCGCGCCGCATAAGAGTCGTTCTTGCATACCCGGAAGCTCTTCGGCAAATTCCACGAGGCCATGGCCAGGTTCCTGGAACTCGCTGTAAACTCTATCTCTCGTACAAGGAACTTCCCATCGCATGTTACAGGACTTGGGGTGAGAAGAGGTAGAGTTTGGTGCTGCCCGTTAGTTCTACGGACCAATCCACATGTTCGCAGCGGGACTGCGGCACAATAGCGGAACAACGCCCGTCGGCCCCGACCGTACCTTCTCAAGTTGGTTGTGCAATTTCATGAGTGGTTCCTTCGAATTTGTGCTCAAAGCATGTGGCTTGCAGTCTGTGGCATGAATCTTGGGGGGATGCGGCACGGCTGCGTTCGAACAGGGGTGCGTCGGTACCCGACGTAATGCACAAGAAGGAGCGAAATTGCATCCGAGAGGATGCTGCGTGCCTAGACTACAGGGTAATTTATCTTGTATGTAGTCAGCATGACGATGGAACGCGTTACAGACAGAGGCTGAGTAAGCTCTATGTGAAGGGCGTTTAGAGGCTGGCTGAGCGATACGACGACGTTGTTGTTCCCCAAGGGCCGCACCGCAATAATCTGTGAACTAAGGCCGAGCCAAGCTCAGACGCAATGGCGGTGTTGTTATCGACGCGTACTAGCTACTATGGGAACACTACGAAGTCGATAGTTTCGCACACGCATACAGATAGGCCGATCTCCCAATGGTGCGTATCGCAAACTCTCCGTATGCACACCTGAAACATTGGCTAAAGATCTGAACGGCGTCTTCCATCAATTATGGACCTGGGCTTATCGTACAGGCTCCACCACCGCAATATCTGGGGATGTTCGTGAAACCAAGAGCGCTTCTTAGCTGATCAATCGCATCGTGACCTCGACCGTAGCAAATGTGCCTGCCGAGACTGGCATAGCCCTGAGCAAAGTCGGTCCAATACCCCTCCAAAAGCCACCCAAGCCCTCGCCCTTGTACGTCTTCGCGAAGCAATCCCTCATACTCTTGTACTTCTGATCCTTGCCAAACGCATCACTCTGCATCTTGCTCTTGATTACCTAAAAGGTGGGTGTACGAGGTCAGTATATGTCTCACGTGCACTTCGTACATGGGGAATTTTGAACGTACATCGAAGGGATATGAACTGATCCACAGCACTTCACCCGCAAGTCCACCATATGCCGCGACCTTTAGAGTAGAGATCTCCTTCCGGTCAATTCCGTTGCGTGCAGCGTCCGCGTTCATCATGTACTCAAAGGCGGTGAACCAACAGCCGTAAGCTTGTGCTTCGCGCATGAATGTGACAGCTGTGCCACGGTAGACACCGCCAAGTACGCCTTGGTGTGCCGAGAGTTTGCGCACGCAGTCGATCGGGCCGGCATAGAGACGATTTGGACCGTGGGGTTGTGTTTGCAGTCTTATACGGATGTGCTCGATGGGGCTGGATAGAACGGTATTGGCGATACCGGCGAATGCACCGGCGGCATAGTATTGCGAGTATGACAATTGACCTTTTCCAGTCTTGGCTTCGTTACTGGCTTCGAAGGCACGTCGCGCATAGTGGAAGCCGCCGAATTGGATTGATACACAAGCTCCGATTCCGATGAGTGGTGTCAGTGTGCCCTTGTAGAAGGCGAGGGCTCCTTCGTTTTGATAGATCTTGGTCGCTGCGTCCAGGGCACCAGAGTATTGTGATGTTGTTTGTAATCTCACTTTGACAATGTCTGTCGAAGTGCGAAGTCAGCGTATGTCTCACACGCAATTCGTAGAGGTTTTACCAAAAGGCTGCCCTATTAAGACTTGCGCAACTCCTCCCACTGCACCCGCGAAGAGATCTTTGAGTGTTCGAGAAAGACCATCCTGAACTGGGAGCTCTTCCTCGATATGGGGTTTCGACATCTTGCTCCTGCTCTCTCTGTTGCCAATATCTCTTCTTGCTCGCTGCTCTCTTATCTCCGCCAACACGGACCCTTTGGAGGGGTAGTTACGACGTCACCGGCCTTGAACGCACTGTTTGCGCTCCTTGCCTGAGTATCGAGAGGTGCAGGATGTCCCTGTAACTTTTTGTTGGTATTAAGACTTCGATGCTATTGCGAGGGTTTTCGAAGTTGTCCAAGGGCTTTACAGGCCAATGGCGTGCTCGTGCACAGACGCGCTAGCGATGCCTTGGATAGCCGACGGGGTGGTTAGCCTCAAAGCGGTCATCGTTCGCACTACATCCTATAGGTACAGATCGCAATCACTGCTGACTGATACATGTTATTGGGCCTTCTGATATAACATGTGAAGCGTACCACGAAAAGCTTACAGTCTATCTGGAACGTGCGCCAGCTTGTATGGATTCTGATTCAAAACTTGATGTGAATTCTTTACAGTATGAAATCGACAGTGATGCAAGGAAATATACAGACGCAAGATGTGAGACGCTGTAGAAAATGAACAAGAATCAGACAGCCGCCCGGTATATCCCGTGGTTTCCCCATTCCCGCTAATCGACATATCCATGCCATGCGTATACAAATGCTTTGCGCCCGTAACATCGACGCATATATACAAGTCAAGGAAATAAACGGGAAAGCAAAGTGTGTAGAAAACAAGCAGGTCGTGCTTCATGTCCCATGCCACATCTCAGCGAGCCCGTAAACGAACGACAAGTCCCCAGGCTATTGGTGAATGCCTGGAGACTAATGTGCAATGCGTAGTAACATGAAAGATGCGACTACCAGCACTTCAGCCTCCTCCACCAACTCTTTTTGGGCATGTCCTCATCATCCTTCTCATTATCTAGATACGCCGCCGAAGAGTTCGGGTCGCGGTTCGGATGCGATTGAAGAGGAAGGGCGGCAGTTCGGTTCGCAGGGCCGTCTCCGGCAGTGAGTCTCCGCGCTTCTACTACACGACGTACGAGTACTGTCCATCTTGTTAGCCATGTCTCAGCCGTCATCTGTGGTGCAGAACTTACGCGCAAAAGTCTCCTCAATGTTGACCATCTCCCTCGCACTCGTCTCCATGAAGCCGCACTTTCTCCGCCTCGCCCACTCGAGGCCCGTCTTGGCTTCTACCTGTCTCTGGCCCTGTAAATCGCACTTGTTGCCTACCACGCACTTGATGGGCGGTATCTTGCCGTTGTCTAACCGGTTCTCCGTCTCCATTTCTATCATCTCCATGAAGTAGTCGAGTGCGTCGAGCGAGTTGGCAGATGTTATGTCGTAGACGAGGAGGAAGGCATCGGATTGCAGGTTCGAGGCGGCCCAAAGACCGCGGTATTCTTCTTGGCCAGCCGTGTCCGTGAGCATGAGGTAGTAGGGGACGCCATCGACGGTTCGGGTTACGGAGTATGAGTCTTCTGGAGGGGTGTTAGTCGTGTGAGGCTACAATTTGGGATGAGTTCGCGCGCAGGGGGATGTACCTATTGTTGGGTCGTACTCAGAGGTCCATTGGCTTCTCACAAGCCGCAGCGTAATCGAACTCTTTCCGCATCCACCATCACCGCACACTGTAATCGTGATTCTGTTGTTCTCGTCCATTGTGTCCTCCTCTTGCGCTTGATTCTGTGTCTGCGATTGTAATTCCTGTGACGTGTATGCGCTCCCGTTCAGGCGGTATTCGTGTCGTAACCGGATCCGTTTCGAGTCGTCAACTCTCGTGGGTGCGCTTGTCGCAAACCGTCCTTCCGAACCAAGCACTCCCTTTTCTCGTGTCCCGTGGTTCCACGCAAACGCAATCCTTTCAAGTTCCCGCGCAGATACGTATGGTCCTGCAATTCGCGTTCGGAATGTGTCGTCGGAATAGGTCACGACTTTGGCTGAGGTCCGACCAAAAGTAAACCCACGACAATAGAAACAAGAAAAGATATCGCGCGCAGGCTTCGCAAGTTCGCGTTATCGTCGCAGCGGTCCAGACAAACGAAGAACCAGGAAATGCAAAAGTACAAAGAGGCAGAGGCAGCGCAACGCAGGCGTTCCTCTCGTATGTGTAATACCGGAAAGCCAACCAACAAATTAATGAAGCGAACAGTGCCCCCAGCAGAACGGAACGGTCCCTAGTACTATCCAAAGCCGCACAGCGTTAGAAATGAATCAGGCATGAAGCTCAACCCAGCCTAGGACTAAGTGAAAAAAAGAAATGAAGGATGAAGATCGCTTCCAAAAGCCCAGCCCGTTACC